CGTGACAACGACATTTCATTTTACTGTGTTTAGACATTTATTGAAACGATTTTCCGGAATCCTTCTAGCCAATTAGTGATCGAAGTAGGTTTCTCTTAGACGAAACTGTCCTAAGGGATATAACAAGCCTTATTGAACCTTGCTACAGGATTTCGTATTGCAGTTCATGACCACCGCGGTTGCGGTGCCCCATTAACATCCTCCCCCAGTTTTATTCCTACTGTGGTTCTGCCCATTATCTGCGACTGAGACGTCGAGCTTTGATTAACCACATTGTTGTAGTAGACTGTGTTCCATGAACGAATTACGTTTTCCTGAAAAAACTTAACATTTTGTTGTGTTGTACTTAAAGGAATATAATGGTCGACGATGCACACGTGAGCAAATGTATCGAGGCTTGGAAAGAGAACGGCTTCATAAATTATTATGGGTGCCAGCGTTTTGGTACCGGGGATGTGCGCACCTTCGAAATAGGAAAGTATCGGATTCTGCTGCAACATAAAATGCCACAAACTATTATATTTATTTTCAAGATTGATCCTGCAACGTAACTGGAGGGAGGTGACTGACAGAATTTTGCAGTCGAGGGCGGAGACAAACGGTAAAAACATTTCACGCTAGATTTTTCCTCGCATATTGTACTTTTCGGCTTTTCTATTTTTCAGAACTCATGATGAACTGCTATAAGACTTGGAAGTCTACTCACGACCCCGTCGAAACGATGAAGGCTTTACCGGATCAGTTCAGAGGCTCCAGTTTGGAAAGTCATCTTCTTCGCGGTCTCAAGAAGGTCGGCCCCAACGATTATTGCGGTGCCTTAAATTTCGTAATTTGTTTTATTTTTATTTTGAACATTACTGATTGAATCAGGTTACCTTTCTAGATTCCTAGAAACTCGCGCAATCTCTATTTGCATAGTTATCAGAGCTACCTCTGGAATATCGCCGTTTCTCGGCGCCTCCAGAAATATGGCAAAAGCGTTATGATTGGTGATCTAGTTATGAAGAACGACAGTAAGTATATCATTGATTTGTGAGTGATCCAAGTATTTTAGTGGCGAATGCCTTTGTTTTATTTTTTCGTTCGAATTTATGCTTCTTGTCAATCAATCAATCAACCAGCGTTATTGTTATAGCATATAGTAACTGCTTTCCCGCAGTTTTTGAGGCACTAATTATACACCTCGCGAATCAAGATAAATACTTCAAGTTCGTCTTTATATTTCTGGAAGTTTTGTTGATCCCAGACTGAGTGAGACAACTGAATTATAAAAAGCTTTGTATGAATATACACACAGTGTAGTTCCGTTCGCATCGCATTCACTTTCGACCTTCCGCCATCCAGAATGACATGCAATTGATGTGGTGAGTCGTCAGTATAGCAGGGAACTGGGTGGCTGACCAGACCTCCTTCACTTGGTAATGGAAGGACTTACAATAAAGGCAGACTTCAAATCGGCAGCTGCGTCTTTTATGCGGGAATCAGTTCAGAATTCGAAAAAAAATTTTTACGGTGTATCAATTTTATTATGTATATATTCTCTAAGAATATTTGTGGTTTATCGGTCTTCAAGAAGAGAGATTCGATAGAAAGCTTTCTGTGTTGCGTCTCGCTCTG